ATAAAAATGCTTATTACTACAAGTTGTATTATAATCCGTAATTTAATTGAAAACTTGAGCTCATTGATTCAGCTTGTGTATGAATTAAGGCCGTAAAAGTGCTGAGTAGAGACTATAGTGTGACGCCCGCTCTCCTCCAATCACAGAACGAGGCTGCGTCCTCTAGCCTCTACAGCGCTGCTAAACACAGTAGAATGTTAGCAGAATTGGCTATAGCTCCTCTGGCTGTAACGGCAGACTCAGCAAAACAGCCCAAACGACACAACAGTGAGGAAGAGAAGAGCGAACTGAAGCAAAAAAAATGATCAAAGAAGAAATCAAGCCCGGGTGAACATAGCTAGCTTACATCTTGTCTATGGGAGAGACCTGGGTACGGGCCGCCTCGGACTATCAATGTTCTGACTACATTTGGACGCGAAACTAGCGGTAATCTTTCAGATATATGTTTTGTTAACAGTGCGTTACTTTTGTGCCATTTCATCAGTGATTGTTGTCCAGCTTACAAGATGTTGCGCTAATGTTAGCATACGTATCAGATCGCAAATAAAACTAGATGGTTCCGTGGCAGGAGAGCGTAGGGGAAATGAGAAGCCTGTGAGCGAGTTGGGGGGCGGTGCTAAACATTCAAACCTTGCAGAAACGGGTATAGCTCCTTTAATGTTATGTTTATTCAATTAGTATTGCCACTTATATTACTGTGCTATGCGTCAGTTCAGTGTCTCACTCTGAAAACAACTAGCAAAGTATAGATGTTGCCCGATTTCAGTCATTATATGTATGTTATGTCTATAAATAGTATCATTCTAACCAAAATTAATTGGGACAAGAAAACGGCAGTGTTTATGAAAACATTGTCATTGCTGAAGTAACAAAACACATCTGCTAAATATGTTGACAATAATCCAGTTATGTTAAATGGGGACTGTTTTGTTCACTTCTTTGATAATTGTGTCCATCTATTGCCGTCTCCTACTGGCCTCAGTGACACAGTTGCACACAGCCTAATAAAAGTCTGTCTGTTACAGCAGCAGCGCCTATAGACTCTCTCCGTGCACATTGTAAAGGCATTCATTATGAGAGTCCCTGTTCTGCACTGGTCCAAATTCAATCTCATGCACTCTGCATTACGTCTCACTGTCTGCAGTAATACAGTAGTTTGCCGTTGTGGGAACCCTCACAGACGCACTTTATAGTCAATGAGCACTTAAACATGCCACACTTAAATGTAATTTCGATGTGCAGTTGCTTGTAACATTACTGACTCTGCTCTTTTCATGATATTGACAACATGTGAGTGAGGTCATGGCATTTATGAAAAAATATCTATGTATTTTGGTGTAATTGCAAGAAAATGATTCCCACCATCCCGCCTAAAAATGCAGTGCTCAGCTTCCTGTTAGCTGCTATGGTGATGGAGAAGCTGCAGTGTAAGCCGCAGGTGGACACAGATGTTTTTCCTTCCTCACTTCGGAAAATAAATCCATTCAAGCTGGAGTACGTTGGAGCTCACATAGTTGCTTTCCAGGGAATTCCTCTACTGTCAATAAATGAGATAAAGGCGGTGCTTTATCCTGTTCTGCTGGCCAGGACAAAAGAACAGATCAAAGGAAATTGAGAAAATGTAACTGATGAATTGAATATATTGTTTTTCATGCATTGCTGTTTGCATGATTTATCAGATTTGTATGTGTTAATGAGTCTTGCGTTATTTTCGTTCAGTGGATGATAGTTGTTGGGAGACTCTTAATACTACTCACAATGGTTCCTCTCCATCGTTGTGGGATGGAGAGGTTCATTCATTTTTATCTGCTTTATTAATCCATTTCAGGCGGTTGGTCCACAGTAGGCTGCTCCATGACAAAGGCTGGGGCTTCAGGCAGAGCAGGGTTAGGTGTCTTCTGTCTTGCCCAAAGACACATCAAGAGCAGACGTCAGTGAGAGTGGATGGCTTAGGTCTCGTGAGGGATTAATCTTTTTTTTTTTAAATGATTCTGATTAGCTCCAAGGACCAATGCTTTACCAACTGAGCAACTGTCTTCCCCCATAATAGTTGTTCTGTATTTTAAACTATATTTTGAATCTATTTATTGGTGCAGCGTTGATGGTACAGTATAATTTCCATTTGGGAATAAATTATGCCCATTTATCACTCATTCTTATATTATATCACAAGACAGGATTTCAAAAATAATCCCTAAAAATGTTCTAAATCTTGGCAACTTTGATTAACTGCTCATAAACAGTGCAGTATTTGTGGATCCAAGCCTCTGTGGACCCTGCTGCTAAAGGCTCTATTTCTGGAGCAAACTCTTGGTGCATCCTGTTGGCTCACACTGACTTCCTGTAGAACCGTGGGCTCCTGTGTGGCCTTTGCGACCTTTGCATCATAACACAACCCATAAATACACACATACACCATTTAAGTATGAAGGTTAAAAAAACTGCAGTTCTCTGAAGAAGACATCCTGTATGTCCAAATAGGATTATTTAGTTATGACCAAAGCCCGTATATAAATAATACAAATAAATAATTTTGCTTCACATGCAGTTATTATAGACAACTGTATCCAACACTAAAAATACAATATAGCCACAAGTGTCTCGGTGCAACAGTCAAGGAAGAGAGGTAAAGGTGCTTGTTGGAGTGCGGAAGTGTGTGTGGTTCTGATTGTTGCTAAGTGTAGCCTAAAAAGCTAAATCAAACCGCATTTTACTAAAATTAATCTGTCTTCGGGACAAAACTTCTGTCCCCCACAGGACAAGCTTTGCCCTATGGCAGGCCTATGGCAGGCCATGGAAACTGGAAAATATAAAAATCAAAAATCAAAAGATATGTCATGAAATTAAAAACTCAAAACGCCAGATCAAGCAGTCTCGCCACCATGGTGGAGTTGGAACAATCTGACGCTAAGTATGGGTCAGCTTGGGGACTGTGTTTTGTAGTGATGAGGGATCTGGAGAAAGCTGTTCAGAGACCACATCCAACAGGAGTCAAGCCTGAAATGTAAAAGAAAAACCATAAACACAACAGCTGTGTTGATAATATGTAATCCTAAAAGGAATTTGTTGACAAGAATGATAGCCGTCGACAAATTTTAGGAGGTGACAAAGTCGATTGCGTCGACTAATTGTTGCCGAAAGAATGAAAGAACGATGATGGTCCCAGAGAGAGAGGAGAGTTACTATCATTGATGAGTTGCAGCTCACCCTTTTTGCAGCTGTCGTCTCTGTTTTTCCTGTTAGCATTTAACCATGTACATAACCTGATTATTGCAACTGTAATTTCCTCATAGAAAAAAACTATCAAGGTCAATAATCACAACAGAATGAGGAGGTGGCACTCATGGCACTTGTGGCGCTGTGATTGGATAAAGGCTTCAACTGTGGTGTAGTGTTGCTTATCTCACTGCCCACTAATACGCTCGCTGTCCCCTGGGTGCACCTCTGCTCTCAGCTTCTCAGTTTGCCTTTGATTGACAGTGAAAAGCAAGACACGGCTTTGACCAGGTCTCAGCCCTCTGCTGCTACAATGACAGACTGGCTGTTACTTAACATCGCCAGAGACTCGGAAATAAACTGTTTGGTGGTGACTGGTTTTATTGCAGTGGCGTACCATAACTCTCAATGATAAAGTATTGTGTATTATATTGGAGTAATGGTAGAGGAGGATGAGCTGTTATTCAGCCGCTCATGTTTGGGTGTGGCTAATGCACTTCCAGACATGCATCACAAAATTCGAGACCCATTAGATACTGACAAAACATTAGCTAAATGCTCTTCTCATCAACCATTCTATCACAAGCACAATGCATGGACAACCTGAAAATGTTTTTCTCCATGGTCAAAGCATAAGATTATCTTATTTGCTCCGCTAACTCATTTCCCTTGTGGATCAATAAAGTTCAACATTGTAGTAGCTACCAAGTTAAATTGCTTTTACAAAAACAACATTTTGGACGATCCCTGATTTTCAAACCTTAAAAACCCTAAAAGCTATTTCTTACAGCCATCCATTTAAATCATTTTAGGTTTATCACCAATTCATGAGTAGCCATACACACAAATACTTTGTGGTGTGAATAAGTCTGTCTGTCATGAAATGTGGAAAAATCTTGTTTGTGGATCAATTACCAATTCTATCGGGCTTACAGAGACATTTGCATCCACACAGAAATAGAGACACCCTTCTTTAAGTGATGTTTGATATTCCCCTACCATATCTTAATATCATTGTGTATCCTTGGGTGATCTTTGTGCACTGGACATACATCACAGCCCACAAAGGCTGTCTACGACCACATTTATAATGCATCACATTGTTATGTAATGAGCAGGGCTACAGTGGATGACAATGGTGTAGTGGCTGCCAGAGCACAGTGCGCCAATTACTACAAACCAGACAGACTCGTGAAGTTAGTGGTGCTGCTTTGTCACTTTCATCTTCATGTTCAGACAGAGGAAGACAGAGATGTGAAGGAAAGACAACAGTAGGAGAGAAGAATGGACAGAAGTGGCAACATGGTTTTAAGTTTTAAGTTTTAGGTTTTAAAATGTAAGAAAAGGTAACCTTCTCTGTACTATAATTTTAGTGTAATCAGGTAGATAACTGAATTGTCTTATCATTTTAGGTGTATCACTCAAATATTTAAGTATTAGAACCAAGTATTACCTTTTAACAGAGGTATTTACACAATAAAACACTAGGTGAGGTCTGGCAAAATTAGGTGAATGTCAATGAAGGATTGGCAAACAAAGCTCTAAGAAAGTGATCATTAATTTGGCTGACCATGTGAAGTCATTGTATGATCTTTTAAAAATGATTCTTGAAATTTGACAATGAAAATACCTCTGTACATGCAATTAATATTGTTTTTGGGATACCTTGTTTCTCCCCAGGGTAGTTTAGCTTATATTCAAATCAACAGGACAATTATTCACAAAAATTAAAATGGTTGTTGATTACTTTCTGACCTTCTCCCCTTTTGTATTTGTTGTTATAGGTGCAGGAGTGGCTGTGTCTAAACTGTCAGATGCAGCGAGCCATGGGGATGGACATGAACACACCGCGCTCCAAGAGTCAGCAGTCGCTCCACTCCCCGTCAGCAGCCAAATCAGACGTTCCTCCACATCCTTCGCCCCAGTCGCGACAGCCTTCCCAAACACAACCTGGACCCAAACCTCAGCAACCCCAACCACAGCACCAGCAGCAAACAAGGCCCTCTGCTGCTATGGCCAAGGCTCCCTCTCAACCAGACCTTTCTCGGGCCTCGCCGGCCCATCAACCACAACCCCCCAGACAGGACCACACCCGGAGTGCAGGGAGCTCACCATCGCGGCAACCCCCTCCTCCAGAGCAGACTTTTGGGAAGTTGTTCGGCTTCGGTGCATCTCTGTTAAACCAAGCCAGCACTCTCATATCAGAAACCATTGAAACAATTGAACCCCAACAGCAGCAATCCCCCAAACCCAGCCCCAAACCCAGCCCAAGCACTGGGTCGTTGGCTGGGAAAGCGCCAGGACCTCAACAACCCAGGGGTCCCCAACAGCAGCCGCAACAACAGCCGCAACAGCTCCCTCCACAGCCTGAGCCTAAAGCCAAAGTGTGTTGTCCTCTGTGTAAGACCACGCTGAATGTGGGATGCAGTTCTGAGGCGCCCAACTACAACATATGCACACAGTGTAACGCTCAAGTGTGCAACATGTGCGGTTTCAACCCCACCCCTCACATCGTCGAGGTAAGAGGCTGCTTCCTGCATTTAATGCTCATGTGTCTGAATTAAATTTTTACCAAATACATCACAGAACACTGAAATAAAAATGGAAATCATGTAGAATGATGTTCAGACTCAGTCCAAAGCGTATTCCCAATCTAAACTGATTATTTTACATTATTTTAATCATGATTTATGTATTATTGATATTATTGAACCAATGCCATCAAGGCACACAACACACATTGACAATGTTGTGTCTTGTCTCGGAGCAGTGGATGTCTGAGTTAAGGCTTATTCATGGGTTAAAGTTTAGGAAATTAAAAAAGGTTAGGAGCCACTGCCACCGTCAGCAGCCTTGCATCCCTGTCATATCCACTTAAAATAAATTATGGATAGACTCGAGACTATAAATTACTGCCTGTATGTTTCATCTATCCATTCATCCCTTTTCGGATTCATCAATTTCTGGATGGTGGAGGCAGCAATCTGAGTACGGACGCAGATACTTCCCTATTTGGCACACTTTCTCCAACTGTTCCCAGGCTAGCTGAGAGACATAGACATGTGTCCAAGGTTTGCCCCAGGGTCTCTTCCTGGTAGTATATGTCCGATACATCAAATAGGTTCACCTCTGGTCAACTTTGACCAGTTTTATAACTGTTCACTGGACTCATCTGTTTCTTAGCCATAGCTTGTTGTTAATAAGATTAGCTGGACTTTGATTCAAATAGTGACTAAGTGTTTGTCCCTGAGGTTGCACAGACGTACCATGAGAAGCAGGAAGCTTCTCAAATGTAATAATGTTAATACTGACTTGTCACACACAGGGGTCAGATGAGGCTACTGTTTACCACAGGCCCATTTCTCCCCAAGTCAAGCCATAACAGGGTTTAATTACATAAATATGATCCACTTTCTCTTTATGGCCTTGGAAAGCATCTGGTCACCGTCAGATTGAAATAAAGTTATTCAGGCATATTCTTCTCACCAGATGTGGTGAACTCAAAAAAATAAAAACAGAAAAAAATAGCCTGCTTCTCACAAAAATTCTTTCACCAACATACACGTTGATGATAAACCCTGGGGCACACTGACAGAAGCGAGGCCAAAAGAATTATTCTAGGCAATATGTGGGAAGTGTGTTGCCTAAGGACACAACAACAGTTTGCCTCTTTTCTGCTACCCCGCTGTGGCACTTGGTGTTCCCAGAGGCCTCCCATCACAGTATTAATCAGGCCATGCCCTGCTTAGCTTGATAAAAGTAGTTCTTAAATTGGTGTTTTTTTTCTAATTGATCAATATCTGATTCATGATTATGCAAGTAAAGCATAAACTAAATATCAAGTTACATGCAAGGAAGGAGATATAGTATATATAAATGTGACCAGAATAAAACATGAATGAATACATTTGGAAAATATACTAATGCAATATAAATAGAACTGAACATGAACTGTTATGTATAATGTTGTATTAGGACATTGGAAAAAATGTAAAATTCAATAATATATTCTATGACATAACGTTTCTTTAACAAGGTTATTCAGATAAATGTTGATATTTATTTGATGATAAACAGTACAAAAAAAAACTATGACTTTTTCAAGTAATCAATTATTTTTGGCTTGATGCATGAGTCTGTTCTCCAGTTTCAGCTATTTTATTAGAAGATACATTTCTGCTTGGATAGCTATTACCGAAAACTCAACGAAGAGTGAAACTGCTTTATTTCGCAGTGTGCTTTGTATTTATTGTCCATGTGAGCTGTCGAAAGATGCGTCACCGTGGCAGTAGAGTGGGTGACAACTATTTGGAGAAAGTGTGTGGCTTTGTGCTTTGGCTAGAGCACAAAGCCTCATATTTGTCAGTTCTTTCACCTAACGCACTTCTACCATGACCCAGATTCTATAATTTTCTGAATGCCCTAACCTTAAACTAATCAAATATTAAATGAAATAATAATATCATAAACATTGACTAGAGTATTTGATGAAAATACATAGAGATATAGATATATACATATCTAGGACTGGTGATTTGATGTGTACCACAATACACACGGGAGGAGTCGACTGTCATGACTCAGAGGATTGGAATTGGAGAGCAATGTCAAGGAACAATGAGGAAAGAAACCTCTAGGCTTTCTGAAAGGATAGGAACCTACATTGGACATTCCCAACATTATCCAGCCTACTGGCATGTCAGAAGACTCTGTATTAACCCTCCTTGTACCATGCACTTTTGGCTTGTTAAGAGAGAGGCTTCATGATATTAGACTAACAGAGTAGAGACTTTAATTAATACACTTAGATGTTTTATCACCTGCAAATCGCTTGTACATTCTATTTGGCTTTGATTTTGACTGAGACAGACCTTAGCTTAAAACAGTTTTTGTTGTCGTAATTTTCCACTTTTAAATGAGATTAAAATGACAGTTATCATTTTTTTTTTCTGGTGCGTAGGGGTGCATTTGGTTAGAAACATGAGGCATTTAATAATATTGTTGATTGGTTTTTACGTTTTTAACATAATTTATCTGACCCTAACAGACACAGGACACAGATATCTCTCTGGTGAAACACATTCTTATTCAACTCTGATAACGATTATTCAGATCTGACTGTGTAAGCCGTTAGCATGAACATACGGTTTTACTAATTATCGTTAGGGGAGGCTCTGACACAATGCATTTTCCCAGTAGTGTCACTTCATTATAGTTCCCATTGGCAGTTTTATCACATTCCAGACATTTTGTTCCCACGATGGACGCTGAGCAGCATCCCACTTTCTATTTCTAAGATCCATAGCATAATAAACCATCAGTGCACTGGGCCTGTGTGCTTTTAAGTTGCTGCCCAAGATGGTCATTAGGAAAACACATTTCTCTTAGACAAGTGTTAAAAAAGGCAAAAACAAAACATAGTGCATCAATAATTGAGTCTGGTAGAAGATTATAAATAGTTTATGCTGAGTGGTGCAGAGAAAGTGCAGTTTGAGTCATGTGCTGCGTCAGGTCAGTCAGTGAATGTGTTTGGTGAATACTACGGCATATGTATACTTCTGAACATACTGTACCAAACAGAGAAGGCAGCATTCTTTCATCAGTAAATGGAAACTGGAAAATGTAACAAAATTCACTAAAGCTTTATAATGCTCCTTGAAACTGCAAATCTTAAGGAAATTTTTTGAATCAAGTTTGTAATTAACAATAAAATAACGATGTAAAAAATCATATTATTTATAATTACAATAATGATAGTTGTGTTTCAGTAAATGTTCAAATGTGTAATTTTTGTTGTAATTTTGTTGTCACTTACCTATAATATCCCCACAGATAAGAAAAGTAACACTAATAAATGTTAACATATATTATGTTTATCTTATTTGAATTGTGATCATTGTTTTCGATGTAGCCATCCACCTGCAGGTCGGCCATCTGACGCCCACGCAGAGGCACTGTGAGGGCTTTATTCTGCTCTTCCATCTGTAACTCTGTCTGCAGCTTCATACCGCCGCACTTTGATGGGTCTCGAACAAACACTAAAGCTTTCCTCTGTGTCTCTGCTAAAATAATGAGACCGTGCATTTCCATATCACTGTGCTTTAGCTGGAAGTGAACATAAGTTAAAGAGGAAAGCTTCCATCAATACATTTCCCAAATACTTCTTATAAAACCAAAAAGATGTTCTAGAAAATAGACAAGAGCTGTTGTTTCTTCACATTTACTCCCTAGAGGCTGTTTTTTATGCAAACATGCATTAACCATCTGAATATCCACATGTCCAAATTAAATGAATCCAAAACACAGGACTGCAAAAATAAGTATTTAATCAAATGTAAGTAAGTAATCTTTATTTATATAGCGCATTTTTACAGACCAAAGTCAGCCATTCAGAGTTCAGATATTGTTTCATTCACTCACCCACCATATTGGCCAATTGTAATCTAGAAAAAACACGAAAAGTAACCAAACAAGGACAGACAACAAGAACTTAAACAGTGGAAAAGACAATGAGTGAAGGAATACACAGCGTTTAAATACAAGAGACTGAAGGAGATACAAGGGTTGACAAATTACAAAAAAATCCAAAAAATGAAAAAACTCTATAAAAAAACTCTATAATACTAACTCACTGTTTGACTTTGTTTGAGAGCGTTATGCAGACGCATATTGATTCCCGGCCCTAATATACAGTATTTATATCTCCCTAGTGCATTTTCAGTCATTTTAAAATACAATCTACTCTTTACCACAAAAACCATGTCGGCCAACCATAAACACGTTTTAATCTAATTGAAGTCAGTGTTGACATAGGTTGGGTCTGACACGTGAAAGCTGTTCGTTGCGTCATCATTGCTCCACAGAGAGCTGCTTCACATGGCGCTACACAAAGGGTAACACGTCTGTCTCATTCTTGAACCGGCTGGAAATGTTTTCTGAAGACTGGCACAGGCCCGCGTCTCCCTCAGGACCTCCATGGATAAAGCCAGATGGCCCTGAGCTTTATGTTTCCAAGCCGGCCGCTGTGCCGAGCAGAACTGAGACTGTGATGGTGCCGCACGATCACAGACACCCACAGACCGCTCCCTCTGCCGTTCATTCTGTACACATGTGAAAGCCATGCATCCAGGCCATATCATTAAATTGATTTTTGATAATAAATCGATCAATCAATCATTTATTTGTATAGCATCGTGTACAAGGCAATTTGTACAAAGTGTAAAATACAAGAGCAATATTTTATAAAATATTTGAAAGTCAATGAAATATACAGTCATTTCATATTAAAACAGAGCAGCATTGAAAGTATGTGGTTTTAAAATGGAGATAAAAGCAATAAATTGTACAACATAGAATCAATTGTACAAAAGAACATCATATGAATCATCAATAAATAGATAAATATTGTGATGAATATTTATCACAAACTCAGTCTAGCTTACATAAAGTTTTGTCCTGTCTTTTCTTTCTTCTCAGCTTTGAAGACATATTGGCAAAATTGTTTGCATAATTTGAACCT